AAACAGCTAATCTCATAAGAGAGTAGAAAAAAAAAATTTAAATCATCTCACCCTCATGTGTGAGAAATAGAGAAAAAAGGGCTATAACTAGTAGCAATTACAAAAAGTTGCCGACGGTAACAAAAAAAAATGGCAATAGAGAGAGATATAAGAGGAGAGAGATAGTAGAGGAGAGAGAATTATGATTTTGAATTCAATTTTACTTGCATTTATTGATCAGCCTTAAATTCTAAAATATTACATTATTTTTCTATGATTATTCTTTGTCGCATCTTAAGCAGCGATTGTGGAGACTTTGACCACCAAAATTATGTCATGGGAGAACGAGAGGGGGACCGAATTCATATATGATGGTGTGAGTACCTTCTTTATGTTAAGGATATATATGTAAATACGTTAAATGTATTTAGGACAATTATGTTATTACTTGTATTCTCACTCTATATATACCTGAGACCGTATCATGTAAAAGATACATTGAATAATATTTCATAAAGGATTTACTGTTTCTATTCTTCTTTCTCTGTTTCTCAATGTTCTTCATGGTATCAAGAGACGCAAGATTCTGAGCTCTCGCCATGGCGACATCAGCTTCCGCTTCTTCCTCGGTTGCGACCACCTCCGGCGAACAGCAGTCCGCTCCGGTCATCTCTCAATCTCTGAAGTTTGTAATTTCAAATCTTAAATTTCTTGTCCCGCACTCTCTTACAGCGGATAACTTCCCTATCTGGAGTTCGCAAATCGCGAAACTCTTCAAGGAGAATGGCTTCGTTGCCTTTCTTGAAGCTCGATCGACCAATGAAAACTTGGATCCAAATCACGATACGCATCAATGGACTGTCATCGATCAGAATCTTGCAACGGCTATGTGTTCCACTATATCGTCGGCCGTTCTACCCTATGTGATTCATTTGGAATCCACTCAAGAGATCTGGTCGACCCTTCACATCCGGTTTCAATCTTCCAACCGCTCCAAGGTCATACAGCTCAAGAATGAGCTCCATAATATTTCTATGCAATCCATGTCTATGACTAGTTATCTCACCAAAGTCAAGAAAATAGTGGATCAGATCGCCTCTGCAGGATCATCGATCGATTCGGAAGATGTTATGATTTACATCCTAAACGGACTTCCGCCGGCCTATCAATCCTTCACGACCACGATTCGCACAATGCAAGGCACGATGACGCTGGACAACCTATACGCTCTTCTCATCAGTGAAGAGATTCACTTGAAATCGTCTGCACTCAAATTTTCCAAAGATCCAGACAATCAATCCGCTCTATATTCGTTTCGCGGTCGTGGCCGTCGGGGTCGGATCCGACAAAATCACGACACAAACGTCTCAAATAAATCCTCCACTCAACCTGCGGTTATATGCCAAATTTGTAAAAAGAAAGGTCACGAGGCAGATGCGTGTTGGCACAGACTCAATGCCAACTATGTTCCGTCTCAAGGCTCATCAAAGAACGCCAATGCTCTGGTGGCAAAATCTGAAGGTCATTCGGGCGTTGATTGGTACATAGATTCCGGCGCATCATCTCATATGACTAACAATCTGGGGAATCTAGCTCCATACAATATCTACAACGGCAATGACACGGTTACCATTGGGGACGGAAGATCCATCCCGATTGCTCATACGGGTTCTGGGATCCTTCCAACCCCGGCCAGTAAGCTTGTTCTATCTCGTTTGTTGCATATTCCATCCTTGTCTTATAATTTAATTTCTATATCAAATCTAGTTAAAGATAATCCGATTTCCATCACGTTTGATGATACCGGTTTTGTTTTTAAGGATCGGATGACCAATCAGGTCATTCTCACCGGACCTTGTAACAACGGTCTGTACAAGATTCCAGCAAGACAGCAAAAGATAACTTCAGCTTCCACGGCATTGTCAGCTAGTCGCTCTACAGACACTAATTGGCACTGTCGGCTTGGACATCCGCATAATCGTGTTCTTCAGTGGATCTCGAACGCAAATCCTGCTTTACACATATCACTTAATAGTTCTTCTTGTAAATCTTGCATGTCTTGTAAAGGACACAAATTGTCGTTTGAACGTTCTAATAGTAGTACTAAAGCTCCTCTTGAACTTGTTCATTCGGATGTGTGGGGACCCTCTCCGGTTCCCTCACACGAAGGTTTTCGTTACTATATAATCTTTGTTGATGATTTCTCGCGATTTGTTTGGTTATTTCCACTTATGTTTAAATCCGATGTTTCTAACATTTTCAGTAATTTTGTTAAGTTTATAGAACGGCAAACCAACCGCAAACTTAAAGTAATTCGCACGGACGGTGGTGGTGAGTTCGTAAATCACCACTTTCGAGCTGTTACTAAGAATGCTGGCATTCATCATCAAACATCGTGCCCTTACACGCCAGGACAGAATGGGATCGCCGAAAGGAAACATCGTCATATTATCACGACCACAAGAACCTTGTTACAAAACGCAGGTCTACCCATGTCCTACTGGTTGGAGGCAGCTTCTACCGCCAATTATCTAATCAATAGGGCACCGTCTGTCACCACAAATCATCTCTCGCCTTTGCAACGAATGTTTAATATACAACCCTCATATGCACATCTAAGAATCTTCGGATGTGAATGTTTTCCACTTTTACCACCCACTCAAAGAACCAAATTATCACCGACATCTTCTTCTTGCATTTTTATTGGATATTCCGACACTATGAAAGGCTACAGATGTCTAAATCCAATAACAAACAAAATTATTACATCCCGGCATGTTAGATTTAACGAAACATCCTTTCCTTTTCTTAACAGGTCCGTCCAAGAACCTCCCATCTCAACTGCGGTTCCACACCCTCTCCTTATTCCGTCTTCTATACTGAATACAAATGATCATAAGAAGCAGCTCAGCAATTCTTTCCAATCATCTGCTGACCGAATGACATCGGATATCAGGAGTCAGGACACAATTCGGGATACTACTCATAATCATCAATTTGCACCTCAACCGATGTCTGTTTCCCCACCTAAACATCATATGACTACCAGGGCCAAAACAGGATCCCTCAAACCTGTTCAACGGCTCAATCTGTTGCATCACAGACAACATCAAAATGATCCCACAACTTTTACCGAAGCCAACAAACATGCTCAGTGGCGCAAGGCAATGGCAGAGGAATTTTTTTCTCTTCAAAAACAGGGTACGTGGGAGCTTATTTCACCTCCTCCCAACGCCTCCATCATTGGTTCCAAATGGACGTATCGAACTAAGTACAATTCGGACGGTTCCGTCGCAAGACACAAAGCTCGGTTAGTTGCACAGGGAAATCAACAAGCTTTCGGTATTGATTACAGGGACACTTTTAGCCCGGTAGCAAAGCTACCCACAATCAGAATAATGTTCACGGTGGCTTTATTCCATCAATGGAAAATTTGCCAATTAGATGTAGCCAATGCCTTCTTGCACGGAGAGATCAACGAGCTTGTTTACATGAAACAGCCCAAAGGTTTCGAGGACTCGACCCATCCGAATCATGTATGTCGTCTTCGAAAGGCTATCTATGGACTGCGTCAAGCTCCCTGGCAATGGTACACCACATTCACAAAATTTCTACTAAATATTGGATTTGTGCACAGTCATGCGGATCCTTCGCTGTTGCTACTTCACCAAGACGAGTTCCAAGTCTACTTACTCGTCTACATAGACGACATTCTCATTACTGGGAATGACGATTCCAAAATAAGCTGTCTCATCGATCAAATGAAATCTACATTCACTATGAAGGACCTTGGACTTGCGAACCAATTTCTGGGTATTACCATCGACCACACACAAGATAAGTTTTTCATGTCTCAATCTCAATATGCATTGTCAATTCTTGCTCAGGCCGAGTTGCATAACTGCAACCCGGTAGCTAACCCATCTTCTTCTAAAACTCCAGTCACTCATGAGGGCGACTCACCGTGTTTTGATGATATTCAGTATCGCCAAATTATAGGCTCGCTACAATACCTCACTCTAACTCGCCCCGACATTGCATTTACAGTCAATGCACTGTCTCAACACATGCACGATCCGGCGATTCATCACACACTGCTACTAAAGAAACTACTTCGCTACATCAAAGGGACTATCGAGTATGGACTTCCGATCACTCGATCTAGCCTACAGCTGCGGACATATTCCGATGCCGATTGGGCATCCGATCCTCTCACTTGCAAATCCACTTCTGGCTTTTGTACATTCTTAGGTGATACTCTCATTTCTCGGACAGTCAAGAAACAGCCCACTGTATCCAGATCCTCGACGGAGTCCGAGTATCGCGCTCTTGCATCGGCCACAGCAGACACTATATGGATCAAGCGTTTATTAGCAGATTTTCGCATTTCGCATGATCAGCCGGTTGATGTATACTGTGATAATACATCGACTATTGCTCTAGCTAATAATCCCGTCTTTCATGGGCGGACGAAGCATATTGAAATCGATCAGCAATTTGTTCGAGAAAACATTCAGAACGACGTCATTAGATTGCTTCCTATCAGCACAACTGATCAAATTGCCGACATCTTAACCAAACCTCTCACCACTCCACGGTTTAAAGAATTACGATCCAAACTGACTATTACTTCTCGCTCGTCAGTTTGAGGGGGAATGTTAAGGATATATATGTAAATAAGTTAAATGTTTTAGTACAATTATGTTATTACTTGTATTCTAACTCTATATATACCTGAGACGGTATCATGTAACAGGATATACATTGAATAATATTTCATAAAGAATTTACTGTTTCTATTCTTCTTTCTCTGTTTCTTAAAGTTCTTCATGGTATCAAGAGACGCAAGATTCTGAGCTCTCGCCATGGCGACATCAGCTTCCGCTTCTTCCTCGGTTGCGGCCACCTCCGGCGAACAGCCGTCCGCTCCGGTCATCTCTCAATCTCTGAAGTTTGTAATTTCAAATCTTAAATTTCTAGTTCCGCACTCTCTTACAGCGGATAACTTCCCTATCTGGAGTTCGCAAATCGCGAAACTCTTCAAGGCGAATGGCTTCGCTGCCTTTCTTGAAGCCCGATCGACCAGTGAAAACTTGGATCCAAATCAAGATTCGCCTCAATGGACTGTCATCGATCAGAATCTTGCAACGGCTATGTGTTCTACTATATCGCCGGCCGTTCTACCCTATGTGATTCATTTGGAATCCACTCAAGAGATCTGGTCGACCCTTCACATCAGGTTTCAATCTTCCAACCGCTCCAAGGTCATACAGCTCAAAAATGAGCTCCATAATATTTCTATGCAATCCATGTCTATGGCTGATTATCTCACCGAAGTCAAGAAAATAGTGGATCAGATCGCCTCTGCAGGATCATCGATCGATTCGGAAGATGTTATGATCTATATCCTCAACGGACTTCCGCCGGCCTATCAATCCTTCACAACCATGATTCGCACAATGCAAGGCACAATGACACTGGACAACCTATACGCTCTTCTCATCAGTGAAGAGATTCACCTGAAATCGTCTGCACTCAAATTTTCCAAAGATCCAGACACTCAATCTGCTCTATATTCGTTTCGCGGTCGTGGCCGTCGGGGTCGGATCCTGCAAAATCACGATACAAACGTCTCAAATAAATCCTCCACTCAACCTGCGGTTATATGCCAAATTTGTAAAAAGAAAGGTCACGAGGCAGATGCTTGTTGGCACAGACTCAATGCTAACTATGTTCCGTCTCAAGGCTCATCAAAGAACACCAATGCTCTGGTGGCAAAATCTGAAGGTCATTCGGGCGTTGATTGGTATATAGATTCCGGCGCCTCATCTCATATGACTAACAATCTGGAGAATCTAGCTCCATACAATATCTACAACGGCAATGACACGGTTACCATTGGGGACGGAAGATCCATCCCGATTGCTCATACGGGTTCTGGGATCCTTCCAACCCCGGCCAGTAAGCTTGTTCTATCTCGTTTATTGCATATTCCTTCCCGTCAACCTTTTGACCAAGGTTCTGGGCAAAATCGAGGTCAACAGTTTATTGCATATTCCATCCTTGTCTTATAATTTGATTTCTATATCAAATCTAGTTAAAGATAATCCGATTTCCATTACGTTTGATGATACCGGTTTTGTTTTTAAGGATCGGACGACCAATCAGGTCATTCTCACAGGACCTTGTAACAACGGTCTCTACAAGATTCCAGCAAGACAGCGAAAGATACCTCCAGCTTCCACGGCATTGTCAGCTAGTCGCTCTGCAGACACCACCTGGCACTGTAGGCTTGGACATCCGCATAACCGTGTTCTTCAGTGGATCTCGAACGCAAATCCTGCTTTACACATATCACTTAATAGTTCTTCTTGTAAATCTTGGTCGCAAGACACAAAGCTCGGTTAGTTGCACAGGGAAATAAACAAGCTTTCGGTATCGATTACAAGGACACTTTTAGCCCGGTAGCAAAGCTACCCACAATCAGAATAATGTTCACGGTCGCATTATTCCATCAATGTAAAATTCGCCAATTAGATGTTGCAAATGCCTTCTTGCACGGAGAGATCAACGAGCTTGTTTACATGAAACAGCCTAAAGGTTTCGAGGATTCGACCCATCCGAATCATGTATGTCGTCTTCGGAAGGCTATCTATGGATTGCGTCAAGCTCCCCGGCAGTGGTGCACCACATTCACAAAATTTCTACTAAAAATTGGATTTGTGCATAGCCATGCGGATCCTTCGCTGTTGCTACTCCACCGAGACGAGTTCCAAGTCTACTTACTCGTCTACGTAGACGACATTCTCATTACTGGGAATGATGAATCCAAAATAAGCAGTCTCATCCATCAAATGAAATCTACATTTACAATGAAGGACCTGGACTTGCGAACCAATTTCTGGGTATTACCATCGACCACACACAAGATAAGTTTTTCCTTTCTCAATCTCAATATGCGGTTTCAATTCTTGCTCAGGCCGAGTTGCATAACTGCAATCCGGTAGCTAACCCATCTTCTTCTAAAACTCCAGTCACTCATGAGGGAGACCCACCGTGTTTTGATGCTATTCAGATCGCCAAATTATAGGCTCGCTACAATATCTCACTCTAACTCGCCCCGACATTGCATTTGCCGTCAATGCACTGTCCCAACACATGCACGATCCGGCGATTCATCACACACTGCTACTAAAGAAACTACTTCGTTATATCAAAGGGACTATCGAGTATGGACTTCCGATCACTCGATCTAGCCTACAGCTGCAGACATACTCCGATGCCGATTGGGCATCTGATCCTCTCACTCGCAAATCCACTTCTGGTTTTTGTACATTTCTCGGCAATACTCTCATTTCTTGGACAGTCAAGAAACAGCCAACTGTATCCAGATCCTCGACGGAGTCCGAGTATCGCGCTCTTGCATCGGCCACAGCAGACACTATATGGATCAAGCGTTTATTAGCAGATTTTCGCATTTCACATTCTCAGCCGGTTGATGTATACTGTGATAATACATCGACTATTGCTCTAGCTAATAATCCCGTCTTTCATGGGCGTACGAAGCATATAGAAATCGATCAGCGATTTGTTCGAGAAAACATTCAGAACGACGTCATTAGATTGCTTCCTATCAGCACAACAGATCAAATTGCCGACATTTTAACCAAACCCCTCACCACTCCACGGTTTAAAGAATTATGATCCAAACTGACTATTACTTCCCGCTCGTCAGTTTGAGGGGGAATGTTAAGGATATATATGTAAATACGTTAAATGTATTTAGGACAATTATGTTATTACTTGTATTCTCACTCTATATATACCTGAGACGGTATCATGTAAAAGATACATTGAATAATATTTCATAAAGAATTTACTGTTTCTATTCTTCTTTCTCTGTTTCTCAATGTTCTTCACTTTAAGACTATTCTGTGCACGATTATCCCCATTTCTGGAGAATGTTTTCTGTTTCTTTTAACTCGTGACCGAAATATTGCAGGTCAGCCTTTTGTCCATGCTGGAAGAGCACACCATCCTGAGGCAAGAGAAAGAACATGAAAGAAAGAGACTGAGGGTAGGACATATCACTTCTTCTTTTTCCTGAATCAAATGAGCAAATCTCTTGATTGTTCTTCATTTCAGGACCAGAGAAGGCTTCAAGGGCAGCTTGTAGCCGAGAAGGAAGTAATGTTTGGATCAAAACCAACTCTTTCGAAGTCCCAGTCGGCCAAGAAATTTGCTGGAACTTTACCTTTAGGACCAACCAGAAGGCTATCGGTCGGGGGAGCCACATTGCAGCCTACAAGATTAGATTCACTTCCTTCATTCAAGTCTCCTTCGTCTGCAAAGACGCCTGATTCTCTTTCTGGAGGTTTGGTCCTTGTTGACTGAAATGCTTTTCTCTTTGCTTCAACCATATTTACTATATAATGTTATATTATTAGTAGTATGATTTCCACGTATTTTTAATTACTATTTATATCATATTTTAGTGATATTAATCTAGATATCATACAACCTAATGACTTAGAAATGTCAAATGTATTTTTCTTTGGAGTATTTATATGCATACAATTAAATTTGTTTTATTTATATATCTAATACCTAAATCTTTAAATTTACTTGTATAATACTGCTATTTTTAAATCACATAAAAATACCACTAACATTAATTTATAGGTTTAACATACTTTAAACATTAAAATATTATAAAAATAAAAATAAATATTTATATATTAGATATGTAAAAACATAAAAATTTAGTGATATTTATGTAAATTTTGACTTTTTTTTTTTTAAGTAATAGATAACAATGCTATACATATAACATTCCAACTTGGATAACATTGAATAAAGTAACCCCCTTCATTAAATCTTGCTTTTATACTTAACAGCATTGGAGCGAAACCTTTTTTTTAATGGGGGTAAATAAATGAAGAAATTTTGAGGGCACAAATTATGGAAATTAAATAAAAGTATTGTATTAATATGTATAAAAATATATTAAATATTTTAAAGGCGCAAGCAGTTAGTCTAGGGGTGTCAATTTTAGGTCACGGGTTGGGTTTGGGTTGAACCCGAAACTAACATGGCACTATTCGGGTCAACCCGAACCCGACCTATTTTTGCAAACGAGCCAATTTTTTTTACCCGAACTTGACCCACTCGGGTCCAGGTCAACTCGACATGACCCAAATGACCCGGGGCCGTGAAAAATTGCTAGTTTTCAAGTCAAAAAATGGGTGAATCTCGGGTTTCTAGATAAAAATAGATTTTCAGGTCAAAAAGAGTCAATTTTGGGTCAAAGGGTCAATTCGAACCTGACCCGATTTTTGAAACGGGACGAATTGTTGAACCTGAATCCAAACCCAACCCATTTCAGGTCCAGGTTGACCTTAATCCAGAATTTTTGAGTCGGATTCAAATCGGATTTTTGGGTCATGTCAAATATTGACACCCCCAGCAGTTACATCCCCTAAATCTGCTCTTGCTTTTAGGCACGGGAGACCCAGAATTTCAATCTGTTGATCCTGACGCTTCTGACGTAGAGACTCCTCGTAGGCCCTTCACGCCCTTAAGCCGTCCCCACAGCATACAGTTACCATCCCCATATAAACGTATAAGCAACACCGAAGAGGAAAACATGATACCTATGGGCTCTTCAGCAGTCTCAGCTCTGAATTCACCCAGAACGGTGTCTACGCCAAAGCAGATGACAGCAAAGCTTGACCCACCTGACTTTGCCCAAGAGTCTACAGCACTGAAAATGGAGCCACCGGAGATGGAGATATCCTTTGAAGAACGTAGGCTTGCATTGCTTTTGAAAGATTAATCATTCTGTGCGGATGCAAAATATTATTTGGAGACCAATCAGAATGCCGTCCGAAGACCAATTAGATTGTGCCACATCACCCCTTGCTCGGTTCCGCGGCTTGATACTATTGACGTGGCACATTCTAGTTGGTCTCCGAACGACGTTCTGCATCCGGTCTCCGCTCAGAATAATTTCTCCTTTTGATAGGATAGGATAGATTAAGCTGAGTCTTTTTACCAATTTCAAGTTGATGCTAGATTTTGTTTTTGTGACTTATAAGGCCACGAAAATGCTAATTACGTTTTATTTTGTTAGAGAATTAATGAAGAATGCAGAAGAAATATTACAGTGACCTGATTGATATACGCTGATGGTACCGAGAAATGCATGATTATGCTCACCGCGCAAGGCAAGGTTTGATGCTCTATATAAGAAGAAAGCATTTCTACTATTAAAAAACTAATATATCTAAGAACAATGCCTACAGAGCTCTTCTCAGGTTTAGGTTTAGATAAATGCCTTGCGTAAGCCAAGTTTCAGCTAACCCCAGCTTGATTCTCGGTGAGTCACCTCATTCAATTTTTTATTTAAGTCGCCTCATTCAAAGATTTAATCATAAAGCTACAAAAATTAGCTTAACAAATCTTGGTTGGCTCACATAACCTTCTTTAATTTCTCATTATTTAATTATTTCATTCTTTTCACAATTCCATCATTACAACTCAAAATTCCCTTCACCTCCATCCAGGGCGGATTATATGATTTTTTAGATAATTTGTTCACTTCTATCTATTTTTTAGTTTTTATTTAAGGGTTAGTGGAAAGTTCTGCCTTAAATTATCAAATTAAATAATTAAGATAATGCCTAAATAAACTGACTCGAATAAATTTCTTCAGAAAACTCCATAAAATTATGTACATAGCCGTTTTTCTAATGAATGGTGGTTCACACAGAATAGATAAACAGGTCCTTCACAGCGAACACAAAAATCAGTAAATTAGAAGGAAATGACAGGCGAATGATTGCTATTATGAACAAAAAATGTAGATAAACCTAGGGCTGCTAAAGAGAGAATGGCTTCATGTAAACATCGAACATTTCATAAGCGGTTAGCTGTGGTTCCTGCAATGAAAACAGCAAATTTTAATGACAAAACTCTGCTAATTAGTTCATAATCTGCTTAGCTCAAAAGTACATTGAAACAGCTCAGTTATGGAAACCTTTTTTTTTTCTTCTTCTTTTTGGGAGATTTTAATGTCTCCCTTTCTCTTTTAAGCGGGCAATAGACAAACTGAGCTTATGATCATTTTAAAGTAAACTTAAAAGGCCGAGTAGAAGGAAAATGAAACTATTAAAATAGAATGGACTACCAAAAGCCGAAAGGAAGCTAACAGATATTTAAGCAAACTGAACAAAACATTCTCAGCGAAATATCCTAATTCTAGCATTTTAATTCAAAATAAGATCCTCCAAAGCTCTTACATATAATTTGTTTATATTTTCTTGTAAAACTAAGGCTTCGTTTGGGGCAGCTTTCTTAATGTTTTTCAAAATAACTTTTTAGATAAAAATCTTCTTGAATTAAAATTTTTTGTACTAAAAAGTTGTTTTAGAAAGCAATGGAAAAACTGTCCCAAACGAACTCTAAATCTCAAGCAAAAAGACACAATTTGCTTTGCTAACACGTGCTATGCGTCAAAGTATCCAACTCTTGGAAACTCGACTAATAGGTACCCTAATTACAATGCTTACAAGTTAATCAAGAATTCAAGAATGAAAGTATCAAATATTAAAGCATTTTTTTTAAAAAAAATTCTCATGTAACTTTAAGTTTTTCTATAAGGATTCAATTATCTACCAAAGCAGCCTAAAATTTTGGTCTAAAAGTGGATAATAGCTCTAACAAATGTAAGCCTTTTTAAACACCCTCAAAATTCATAGGGGTAGAAAGAATGCGAGAGATGAAGGGAGAAAGAGGAAGAGAGAGTCATAAATGGAGTAAGAGGAAGAGAGGATTGGTTGTGCAAATCGAGGGGACAATACAAGAGAGATATGGCGTGAGAGACATGCAGGTATATGCCGCGAGATGGGGGTGAGGTATTTTAATTAATTAATTAATATTATTAAAAATATATCAATAATAATTACCCGCCTTGATTTGAAAACATGAAGGAAAACCTAAAGGTTTCATATTTGAACATCGCCATGCATCATACATCTTCATTCGATCAATTATTCAATAACATAATAGAAAAATATCATTATTAAGTTCATTGAACAAATGGTCAATAGAAGGGTTTGAACTTATAGAACTTGCAAAAACTGAAGTCTTATATGATCTATCACCGTGATAAGATGGCCTTAGGATCAATATTATTGATGATATTCGTACAATTCATGATAATACAAATATTTGTATAGATCAAAAGCATCAACTTTGGTATGCCTTAAAGATGATTCATGACATCTTTGAGATTGGCAATGATTAAAATGGTAATCTCGATTATAATATAGCCCTTTTTAATATAACTATTGTATTTATCATAAGAGGAAGAACCAAGATCATACATGCAATCATGAGGCATAAAATATAATTGTCAATCTCTTTCAAGTAGTAATCCTATAATTTATATTGATCATATTTTCCTGATATCACAAGTCGGTTTGTTTAATTGCAAGTGACGAAAGTGAATTGATCGCATTTCGGACAATGCGTGTAAGTTCATTTTTGGTTAGATTGAGGTTTTGTTTTTACTAAACCTCATATTTTACTAATGAGGAGCATATTTATTAGTCCAAAATACAACTTATCCATTTTAATTTTATGAACATGGATGAAACATCTTAATAATGTTGATTCCAAATTAAGTTAAATGAATTTTGTAGCTCTGTTGGAGGGAGGGTTAATATATTTGTGATGGTAGCTTCCAAGCATAATCTATACATCATAAACATTTTTTTAAATGAATTTATATGGTTTAAGATTAAGGTTATCATTTTAATTTGTTTTCTTTTTTATTATTATTATTTTTAAGAATTTGGTGGAAGAGATAGTGTGGGACGAGTAAGAGGATGGAAAGGATATGGGTGGTTAGTGTTTTAGATGCAATTATTTCAAGGAAATTGAACTTTAATACCTAATGATGTACTAAGAAATTAATCTGATTGTAATTTGATGATAGAAGCTTCTAGAAGATCTCTTTCATGATCTTTCTTTTCTTCTTTTGAATTTTCTTTAAAATTTCTAATATTCTTTCTGTTCTTGAATTCAACTTTGAGATATGAAGGAAATTGGAAAGACAGAAAGAGTACACAGAGATGAGAAAGGAGATTGATTTCTTAAAAAAACCTATACTATAGAGAGAGGAATATTTTGATTGGGAGAGAGTAAGAGGGTCTCAAGATTCATACATGTGATGAGAGAGAGGCCACAGGAATTTGAATAACGAAAAAGAATCAACTCGAAGAGAGAGAGAGAACCCTTTGTGAGAAAAAGCCAACGAAAGGGGAATTTTTGAAATTTTATTCAAAATCAGACCTCAATTATAACCATAAAACTAATCATTAAAAAAGTGTGATATTTGAAATCTGATTAGTTTAAATTCAAAGCTAGATAAATCCTGAAAAACCTATCCTTAAATCTTAAATAAAGATGCCCAAACCCCTACATTTTAATACATTTAAAATTGAAATAAAATCCTTAAATAATCTAAAATACAATAATAATCTAGAATATTCATGATGCTTGGCCTTGTGTTGCATTAAAAAAGTGACCAACAATTCCTAAACCTCAGGAGTTTTTCCATGTTGTAAATCTTGTAAATGCTATCAATAAAAAGTTCACTGCGGTATGCAAAATTTGGTACTGGCAAGTCATTTGTCATCTATGTCATCAAACTCTAGAAATAACATTAATCGATTGCAACGAAAGCATTTGAACTGCAGTTGCAAGCATTTTTGTGGATAAAAAAAGTAATTTTTGCAATAAAAGTCAACCTTAAATTTGCTCAAACAACATACTAAACAAGGAGGAGGCAGGGCCAGGTATTAAGATAAGTGAATGAAAATTATACCTGTCTCAAGCCGCCACCGCTTAAGCTACCTCCTGTAATAAGCATGCTGAGGACTGAAGTAAGAGGGCCCCCACCCACTGAATCACCAGTACTTCGGATGGTTGACCGCATCGAGTTGAGTATAGTTCCATAAGTAGACCCATGTCCCCTCTCGATGGCTTGGATGAAGCAGTATGTCATTGCACCTGTTGAAGTGACTTTTGAAAGAGCCTACAACATTCAAACAAATATAAGTTGTGAGACAAAAAAGAAGCTAGAGTAAAAGGAAAAAAAAAAGAGTACATATGCAAATATTAAATAATAATTTTAAAGATAAGTTTGTTGGTCTACTAGCTTAATAGATGTAACGCAATGTTTTCTACAGTCAACTGTGATTGACCACGTGCCCTGATGACTGTACAACTCCTAAAACAATCAGCTTCCCAAGGTCCTACTTAGGCTTCGTTTGGGACGGCTTTTTTACTGCTTTCTAAAACAGAGTTTTAGTACAAAATTTTTAATTTTTGTACTAAAATTCTGTTTTAGAAAGCAATAAAAAAGCCGTCCCAAACGAAGCCTTAGTCATCTATTAGGCCGGTTCATCCTGAACCGGCCCAGAGGCCGGCTATTGTCTACAGGAGGCGGACAAGTGCCGCCTCCCATTAATGCTGCCGCACTAAGCAGTGGACCCCACTAGGAGTAAAGCAAGGAAAGAGGGGGGGGGGGGGGGAAGGAATTTGAATTAGGAAATCAATGTATTAATAGTATGAGTTTAGGGTTTAGGGTTTGGGGTTAAGCATGCTTTGTTTGGTTGTTCTCTTGGAGTTCTTTGGAGTCTTGGCTCTAGATTTCTTCGTCTAGAGATTGGGAGAGAACGATCCTCCTCTCAAATTGAGGATCACTTGTATCTTGCTTTCGTGTTTGTTTGGCTTTGATTTCCTTGTTGCAATACAACATTTTGGGGCTGATTTCGCCCAGAATTTTGCATTATTCTCGCTGTTTTTCACCAATCGGTGATAGGTTTGCTTGTGAACTCAAGTATTTCCTATCATCATCATGACCTCCTATTGAGGATTAATATCCATAGTCCACTATATATGGTGTGAATCGTGTAAACTTGTTCTTTCCCTAAATGAAAGGATATCGCATGATCTAATTTTTCATTATATATTAGAAAGAAATACACTTAATTACTCTATGAGGTGGTGAAGAAATCATAACCACAAAGGGTAATAGACAAAAAGGTTGAAAGTGGTTTGGTCTTATAAATTGCGCCCTTTACCAGACGAGTCGAGAGAATGTATTCACCATTATGCGAAGAAAGAATATAACACGTGACTTTATCATGAATGTAATAAGCTTAAGGAGATTTATGTCTGTAAAATATAAAACTTGTTGTAAGGGTACAAACAATAAATGTAATGTCAAGATCTAAACTCTCTCTAGAAGATCCTAATTAATTTATAGTAGTGTTTATTCCTGACTGAAAGATGAATTTATAGTAGTGTTGATTCCAGAAAGATGAATTGATGATTCATAATATCTGGGAAGATTTAACACTGGGAACTATGTCCTCTGTTGTAGAGCTTAAAACATATGTTTAATTTATTTGATAGTACATAATGTGTTTCTTCATTGAATTGTAATTTCCTTTACATATATACAACTACTCAAATTTTTTTAAAAAAAACAAGGTTTATGTAATTGCTACTATGTCCAGATTCTCACAAATATTATGAACCAAGCTTCATACTTACAAGAGTTAACAAGAACTTACTGAAGTATCAGCGGATGTTTGATCATCATCACAGCCACTGAAGGAGATTGCTTCCCCACCACTTGTACCTTTCCAGATGCCAGATCTTGGACGATGGTCTTCCCACACATATTGTCCGGTTCTAGATCAATAAAAACATATTTATAAGAGAAGCAATTGCATTTTGATCATCAAGGAATAACTGTTTAATGCAATGAAGTAAACAAAAATTAGCTAATTCATTACAGTATGAATTAAAGCAATTGAGAACTGAGATCACAGTAAAAGTGTGCTAATTAAAGAAAAATTTAAGTTTCTAACAAGTTTTGGAAGGACATGTGATGTGCTTCTTGGAGGTCAAGAAGTGAGGCACCTTTAGAGTAGTTGATGAGGACATCCGACTGTGAAAAATTTATCAGAGAAGGAAACAGAAATCGACTGCCATGATTAGGCTACTTTATTTTTTATCTATTATTTGTATTTGATTTATTTATGTATGTTTTTAAGTTTTTATCCTCACTTGAGGGAGAAGGTTTATTTGAACCCAGGGGTACTTTTGTCTTTATGATGATTACTACGAAAAAAAAAATTCCAGCAATTTGTTTCTTTGTGAGAGTTCATGTGAGAACTTTCGTGAAGTCCCTAGGTGAGGGCAAAACATTACCCATCAGCCGCAGGAAGCGTTTGGGCTCGTGGTTCTCATCCCCAACTTTTCCTTGGCCTCTCCCTTAGCCTCCAGCTCCCCTCCCCCTTTTTATTTTTAATTTTGTTTTCTCTTCTTTTCCTAGCCGCCGGCCCAAATCCACCTCTCATCCTCCTAACCGTTGGCTCCAAATTCCCTCTCCTCCTCCTAGCCGCCGGTCGAAGCTCCAAACCCTCATAGCCGCCGGTCCTAAAACCCTATCCATCCTCCTAGCCGCCGGCCACATCACCCCCTCCCTTGCCTCCAAATTTCAAATCCTGAATTAATACTTTCCGTTTATAGCGCATTTTAAATTAGGAAGTTTTTTAAATTCAGATTCCAAACTATTTGAAATTAAAATTCCTTTCCTAATGAGTTATATTAGGAAAGATCCTCCAGTCAATCCAATTTGAATTTAAATTAGGAAGAGACTTGCATTAAATCTCTTTCCTAATTAAATTTGCTAAGATTAGAAACCCCTTCCTCCTATAATTAACTCATTACCAAGTTGGGTCCAATCAATATTCCCCCATCAAGGGGACGGCCACCCCTCCCCTCTCCCCTTTTTCCCTTTTGGTTCTTTAAATTAAATATCTCAATCAATGCCCCCAAATAAATCTCAGATTTGGAGATTTGATACGAATCTTATTTCCTCATTTAAGAACCCATAATCGGCAACTCTATTAAATCACCAAGCCATCTCCCCAATGATTACTACCCCCCCGCCTCTCTCTCTCTCTCTCTCTCTCTCTTGCCCCTTGCACCCCTTTTCTGAAATTACTAACTGCTGTCCCAAAGTTCCCATGATAAGAGGCCTCACTACCACCTTCTAACATCAACTACTACAAGATTTCAATCCCACAAGACTGTTGTCCTGCATTCCAGGTTTAGTAAACTTGTTATCCCAGGTTTCCAAGACTTGCGAGAGTGCTGCCCAGAATTTCTCCAGACATTATAGTGTTGTCCAAACTCTCTGGAGGTGCTTGATTGTTGTCTGATCTTGTGAGAAGACTTCATATTACTGTCCTTCAGAAGCAACCACACATCGTCACCGTTGTCTCATATTTCCTATTTTTGGGTAAACTCTCTCCCTTCCTCGCACCTTTTAATCCTCCTTCAATCTTGGCATCATTTGATCATGAAGATCTATTCGTATAACCCAAATTAAGGGTGTAAGTGAGCGGATTCCCATAGTGACCATCCTAATTATTAAATTAGGGATTTCCCTTGAAAATCCTACATTCGCATGGTATAATTTGATATGACTGTTTTATGATCCTAATCTTTTATTGTGTAATTGATTGCCTAAGCTTAATCATCAATTTGTTGGCTTAAAACTTTGCTAAGAAATGCGAGAAGTTAATTAATTGCAAAGCTCTATTCCTATTTATGTAATTTTCCAATCGATTGCATTTGATAATACATGTAGTCCTACATTAGTAGGTGTAGACTCCCAAGAGAAAAAGAAGAGAGGAAACTAGAAATTTTCATTCATGTTAATTGATTACAATGGTGCATATTTATACTACTAGGGTAGACCAAGTTTACAAGATAGACCTAGTCTACCTAATACATGCCTTAAAATACAATGGGCGGACCTAGTCTACCTTACAAAAAGAACAAAAAATAAAGCAGCTAATTACATATTTGTAGACCAATTTTTCTATGTTACCAATCTTGACAATTTTGGAGTTCTTCTTTCGTAGACTCTAATGATTGTTGATTGGTCATTCATATTGGTGGCACACTCTTCAAAATTTGCTTGTATCACTTGAGAATCCAATGAAATATATTGATATTTAACACTGCCGTCGCCATGAAAAATAACATTATCCTCAACGTTGAGAGAAGCAAAAGATGAAGAGAGTGCTTCAAAATATTCTCATGTGGAATCCTCCGATATATTTAATTTCCATTGCAACAAGACTTGATGGTGAGACTGGCCATGAAACTTTATAATGCGAGATGCTAAAATGACATTAGGAACAAGGAGTAGTTGATCATTAAAAGTAAGGTTTGGCAAGGTGGACAGAGTTAGTGGAGGGGTTCCTTTAAATGGTTTGAGAGGAGAAAATTGAAAAATAGGATGGCCAGCTACTGGGCTAATAACCTCTTAAATTGGAAAAGGTCCAAAATATAGTTCATCTAACTTGGAATGTGTTCTACAAACAATGAAATTATGCTTGAAGGGTTATAGTTTGACCATAATTAGATCACCTATTGAGAATAACAGATCCTGTCTATGACGATCTGCCATTAATTTCATACGATTTTGAGGTTGAGAAATATTCTGACGAAGGTATTGTAAAAGGGTATCACAGTTTGTTAATAAGGCGCCTAAAACATAAATGTCAGAAGTACCAAGAAGATATGAGGGAATTGATGGGGGTAATCGACCATATAAAGCATGAAAAGGGGTCATTTTGAATAGTCGTATGAAAGGAAATGTTACAATAAAGTTCAGCCCAAAAAAGTAAAGGAGTTACTAGACTAACAGGAGGCAAAGTAAAGGTTTTTATTTCTTGTTATATAAGACAATTATTAGCGAAATCAGTAACATTTTTATGGAGTCCATACCAATAAAAATTTATAGAAATTCTTTTAATGGTTTTGAGAATAACCTGGTTGTTGGCAAAAGGTGTGGAATGAAATTCAGTGAGAATATGATTTTTTAGAGCATAAGACTTACGGATATAGATTCGACCTTGAAAATAAAGAATATTCTCTCGAATTTGGCAAACTGAAAATAAAGATTTTTGTTTTTATCGGTGTATTAATAAAACCGAAGTTAGAGAGGCTTTAAAGAAAATGAAGGGTGGTAAAGCTGTTGGACCT